CGCCGCTTGCACAAGTGAAGTTCAGGGTGAAGTTGAGCAGTCGAACCGCGCGTCGCTTTATTGAAATTTCATCTGGGCGCGTGATACGAGAGTCGCGAGTGATCCCCGACCTTTCGGCACCCGTTTTCGATTCGGCCTTCGGCGAACTCCAGAGGAGGTGTCTCACGTGAGATTAACTTCTCATCTTCTTCCCATGTGTCTCACGTGTGTATACGTGTGAGTGCGAGTCTCCGCGAAACGAGATCCGACGATGAGACGACCGGTGCGCGAGGACCGACCGGCACACGTGGATCACCCACGCTTTCGCGCCTAACGACAGTTATGGGTGTAAACGGGCATGACGTTAGCCGCCACGCTCTACGGATCGTTAAGGCCGACCCCCCGGCGAGCGATCATCCGCTCGCTCGCGAGACGGAACGGGTTTCGAGGACGAGCGAACTACCGGACGTGCAGGTCGAACCACGTCGTTAGCGATGCTCTTTTTCGTGCACGACGAGACCGACGCGAAGCATGCTATCGTGAGTTCTGGCGTTTGCGGGTATGCTTGTACCCGATCTAATCTGCTCTCCATCAACGAAAATTTTTTAGATTTTTTAAAACCAATTTATCAGAACATGAATTAGAAAGTTTGATCTCCGTAGCATTTCACGAATAAGTTTATAGGTTAAATATATATAATTATATTAATGGTTTGTAACATGATTGCCAGCTGAAAAATGAAGTTGTACAAAATTGTCGATGTCGAGACGGTTAAGCGATTGCGATTTCTTATCGGATTAAAATTAGCTTTTCTCGTGTATATCTAGAGCAATTTCGTTTGAGTAATGTCTTTCGATTCGTGCTGCCTATTTCGGTTTGTTTCCTCTTCGCTGGAAAGAACGAAGCTCACGACGATGGCGGATTCGTGCGCGCATCGTCTTTCTTCTGATAAGATAGACTAAATAAATAATTGAACGTCCGGCCGTTAGAGAGAGCCGGCCTGGAGTGAGGGTGTTGATAACCTCGAGGTGAGCGAAGCCGGTCCCGAGCAGACTTTATCGCGTATCTGTCCAAGTTGTACGGCTCGGGATGTCCTAGTTTACGGCGGCGTAAATCGGGTGCCTCCGTAAATACCAAAAAGTTAAACCCTTATCCCATGCGACGGCGTGCCATTATCGGAAGCGGAACAGAGACGAAGGAGAGAAAGAGAGAAAGAAGGAGAGTCTTGCGCTGAAAATAATCACAAAAGTCTGCAACTCGTAACTTAAACAGTTCCGTATTTTATAGTATCGAAAATTTTGTAACTCTGCGTTATTTACGATACAAAATTCTATCGCTACGATCGAATTTTGATAATGGTTTAGTTAAGATTAGAGTTGACCAACGTTAAAAGTATTGATTTTCCGACACGCGCGTACATTTAGAACCGTGAATCGAGTCAACGAACTTCCCGTTCCCTTTGTGGACCAAATTATAAACCCCGCCGGTTGTTCTTGCGAGTTTTGGTCAGTAAATTCTGGCGAAACAGGATGTATGCACACGCTGGTGTAGCATAGCTTCAATGGTTGCTGAGGGAAGACTGGGTAGCGTGCGGTTTCATTATGCGATCGTTAAAAGTTTATGACGTTTCCGGAATGAACAAGGAAACACATCGGCGACGATAACGATTCCGCAACGAGCGTCAATCGGCGTTTCTCGCGCGGCGACTCGCGCGCGGGGAAAGACGAGATTCATGAATCAAATCAACCATTAAGTAAAACGAACGATTTATAATGCCCCTCGCGCGTGTTCCTCTTCGCGTCGAGCAGTTACTGTTATTTCAAACTATATATACAATATATATCTATCTCGCAACATGATGAACTTCCTGACATATTGTTCAGCGAAAGCACGACAACGTCGGCGACTTTGTAATTAACGTACGATAACAGAGCGCTAATTTGACGTTAAAAGTTTGCGTCATATCGCTTGTCGGCAAGAAAATTGCAGGATAAACGACTTGGAACTGTTGCGCGCGACCTCCGGCAATACGTTGGTATAAATCACGAACGATAAATTATCTCTGTGACACCGGGCAGAAAACCTAAATGCAGATTTTCCCAATCTAGCGCGGGAGCTTAACGCGTTTAATCGTTTGATGCATTACCTCGGTATGCGGTGAAGACCGTTTAAGCAAATAATAGTTATTCCGGCGAGATTCGGACGCTAGGTGAAAAGGGATACGTGCATCGATCATTCGTGCAGGGTGTGCGCGCGGACACTTCCGGCGGTGTCGGCGGGATCATCGATCTAGATCATCGTTTCAGCGCCGACGCCGTCATTACAAGCAAGCACTCGATGGTTGTAGTTAAAATTAATCACAGCGTACACGGCTATTATCGCGTGTCGATGGAAATGCGATTTGATAATCTCGCTTGGGTACGCTAATTCGCTGCAATCGGGAGTCGGGTAATTTCAATTATGGCGTGTAAATGATTCGGCATTCACGTATGATCGGCGCAATAAAATTCTCCACGCGAGATTCGAAAACTGCCGATCAAATCGTGTTTGTGTAACATTTACTTCACCGTGCGAGTCGAAGTTTCATGGTGACATCCTAGACTTGCGAATGATATTATTTCACAAAATGCATTACAGTTACGATAAAATATGGATTCTCGCGTGACGGATCATTAAGTCTGCTGACATTCATTAATTTGAGGTAGAACAAATATAACGATAAGTCATTAATCTTTCATTTGTTTCCGACCGAGTTTAAATTGTTGACACGACTCGTCGTTTTAATCGACGATAAACCCAGTGTTTCAAGTATAATTAATTATGATGTTGTGCGCTCGCGTGTTGCTGTCAGCGATCATGTAAACGCGAATGATAATTACGAAAAAGGTCACGCAAGATTAGCTAGATTACCATCGAAATTTGGCCCCGTTCAGAATCGCTTGCATCGTGAATAATGATTCGGGTTAAAACAAAGCTTCGACCATCATTCGATCATGCGATTAAATTATTATTATTCAACGAATTTAGTTCCTCCAGTGATTTGTCGCAAGATTCAAGAGATTGTGCAATCGTAACAGGGGTTGCGAGTATAAATGCGATAGATTATATAGATATGATCCTCTCGGTACGACGTATTTTTGGCGAGTTGATTATAATCGCTCTCGATATCCCGAGTCTGAAATTAATTACGATCCATGCAAATTCTCTCATGTGTCGATGATAACGCACTGCAATAATGCGGCGCGCGTGAATTAATCCGAGAGTTGCACGCGCCGCAAATAATCACGTCTAAATAATCACTCCTGCTCGATCTTGCCTGCAGCAGTCGATTAAACCTGATACATCTCTGTCGAGCTGACCCCCCCCCCCCCACTTTTGCACAAATAAAAAA